GGCAGCTAAGTGTAATGGAGTCACCCCATCTCTATCTACTACATTAACCTTTGCACCTATTTCCAACAGAGCCTTCACTGTCTTTATATAGCCATTTCCAGCAGCGATATGCAATAGAGTATATCTCTCCGTGCAATTGTTTATCAGATAATTCACATTAAAATTAAAATTTTCCCACTTTTCATACGTGGCTAGATCTATTGCTTTTAACTTCTCTTTTATTTTTTCAATTATGTTATCCCTATTTAAATTATTGTCAGAATTTATTGTTCTTAATACTTCTAACCACTTATGATGTATCATACTTCTACCCCATGTTATTGAATTGTTTGCATTTAGCTCTCGCCACTACAGCTCACAACCATATTTCCTTAGTTCTTCCATATTTAATTTACCACTAACACAGTTAGTTACACAAAAAATCATCTACTTTCAAGACGTATCAGTAGACGTTGTCCTCTTACATTAAATTCATATTACTAGGCCTTCTCATTTAGTGATATCTGATTCAATCTTAAAATGGATGTTATATCGAATACTGATAACACAATATCAGCCTTATTTGATTGTACTTCATCCAGTTTGATCCTTTCAGCAGCTATGTGTGGATCAGAATTGTTCTTTGCATCAGAAGCACCACGCTTTTTACTAAAATACTTAACTATATCTAGATGACCATTCTCATTAGCTATACCTGCGGGAGTTAGTCCTTCATCATTCTGTGCATTAACGTTAGCTCCTTCACCTACAAGATATTCAACTATTTCTAAGTGGCCACTTTCAGCAGCAAGGTGTAAAGGGGTATTGTCATCATCATTCTTTGCATCAATGTAAACTTCTTCGTCTGTAAAGTTCTTTATAAGATACTTAACTATACCTAAACGGTTACTTTCAGCAGCTAAATGTAAAGGGGTAAAACCCCACCTATCCCGTGCATCAACTTTGGCTCCTTTACATAAAAAATATTTAAACAAACGTAAACAGATGCCACTTTCAGCAGCAAAGTGTAAAATAGTGCAATTACAATATGATGCTATATTAGTATCAACTTTTGTTTGATCTATAAAATATTTAATTATGCAGTGGCGACCATTTTTGGTAGCAACTAGCAAAGGAGTTAGGCCTTCGTTATCCCGTGCACTAACGTCAGCTCCGTTTTTTACAAAATATTCAACTACACCTAAGTGGCCACTTTCAGCAGCAAAGTGTAAAGCAGTGGAACCTAAGTAGTCCTTTGCATTAACGTTAGCATTTTCTTTCTCTACAAGATACTTAACTGTCTCTAGTGCACCAATATGGGCAACTATATGCAGCAATATCTCTGCTATACCTATATCCTCCCAAGGATATAACTTGCTAAAAGCGTATTCTGTGTTCGCTTGACTGCCAAGCCACTCCTTATATACATCTCCCAAGTCTTTGTCTTGTCTTTCTAACTCCCCTCTTATTCTGTTAATCATATGTCCCTTATTTTTAGCACTTATTAATAATTCCAACAACTTAACAAAGCCCATGATTTTACCTCATCTTAACGATCCATATTTTAATCATTACATAACCGATATCAAAGTCAAAAATTTTATGTGCCTTGGCAAGCAGATGTTTTTTCGCTTATATTGACTTTATTTAATTTATTGCTAGGTTCCAATACTACATGTGTAATACTACCAGCAACAGTCCCAACTGCTAACGCAGCAGTTACAGCTATAACTAATCCAACATTCGCAGCAACACATCCAATAGTTACTATCAACATGGTTATTATTCCTACAGAAACACCAATTTTTACCACTTTATTAGCAATATGTTTGGCTTCCGCGTTTGATGTAGCTTGCACTATATCATGTTTGCTATTCTTAACAGCCATATGTAAAGGAGCTTTATTCTTTTCATCAGCGGCAACCTTCTTTTCATTTAAATACTTAACTATATCTAAGCGACCATTTTCATGAGCAGCATCTAAAGGAGTTTTATTATTACGATTCCTTACATTAAAGTCAGCTCTATTTTTTATAAGATACTCAACTATTTCTAAGTGACCACATGTAGCAGCTAAATGTAAAGGAGTATTGTCACTCGTGTCTCGTAAATCAACAGCGACATTTTTTTTACCTACAAGATACTCAACTATTTCTAAGTGACCACATGTAGCAGCTAAATGTAAAAGAGTATAGCCATAACTGTCCTGCACACAAGGAGGAACATTCTTTTCCTCTATAAGATATTTAACTATTTCTAAGTGACCATGTTCAGCAGCAGCATGTAAGGGGGTAGCACTACGATAGTTCCTCATATTCGGATCAGCTCCTTTTTCTACAAGATATTTAACTATGTTTAAGTGACTACCTGCAGCAGCAGTATGTAAAGCAATACAGCAAAAGTGGTACTGTACATCAGGAGCAACATCTTTTTTCTCGATAAAATATTTAACTATTTCTAAGTGACCACGTGCAGCAGCTAAATGTAAAGGAGTATAGCCATCCCTGTCCTGTACATCAGGAGCAGCTTTGTTTTTTACAAGACATTCAACTATTTTTAAGTGACCATATTCAGCAGCAGCATGTAAAGGAGTAGCTCTACGATAGTTCTTCATATTCGGATCAGCTCCTTTTTTTACAAGATATTCAACTATACCTGAGTGACCATTTAAAACAGCAGCATATAAAGGAGTATTATCCTTCTTGTCTCGTATACCAAGAGCAGCTCCTTTTTTTACAAGATATTCAACTATGTATGAGTAACCATAAGTAGCAGCAAGGTATAAAGGGGTAAAGCCGAGATTGTTCTTTACATTAGGATCAGCATGATTTTTTATAAGATATTCAACTATCTTTGAGTCATTCTTGAGAACAGCACGATGTAGAGGAGTGTTATCATTCGTATCTCGTAAATCAACAGCAACATCTTTTTTACCTACAAGACATTCAACTATTTCTAAGTGACCATATTCAGCAGCAATGTGTAGTAAAATAGTCTTTACATCCATTCCACTACTGGGAAGTATTATGTCAAAATCTTGTTCTTCTAGCTGATTTTCTATTCTATCAATAACATTACTTGCATCTAAATCATCTTTTGCTATTGCACTTAATATTTCTTGCAACTCACTTGAATTCATAATTTTACCTCAGTTTAAAACACACTTTGATCATTACATGCCTGACACAAAAGTCAAGATTTTTATGTCTTCCTGAAAATTACGAGCGATTGCTCTGCTTGATCAGTAGAAGTAGATTATGTGATCCAATGGAAACATGACTCTCTTCAACGCCACAAAAAATTTATTTATTGACTACTTTTTAAAAACGCAAAAAAGTACCTACCCTTGTGAGAACAATTTAAATAAAAGCTACGTTGTGAAAATAAAAGCGCAAAATTGTTGCAATAAGTTAGGCAAACTAGTTCATATCTAAATGTGGCTAAAGTAGGCTAATATGGCTAGTTTTAGCGTATAATAAAATCACCATATAAAAAAGTTCGTATGTATCACTTGGTAGTCCAAGCGATTCCAAAGAAACTAGTTCTCGCGGGTGTTGTTTTTAAAATGATTTTTATCATTAATTTAATGATAAAGAATATGAAAATATATACTAATTAAAATAATTGTTCTTTTTAAAAAAATGCTTGCTTTAATGATTTTCCCGATTACTATACTGTAGATAAGTTTTAGTGTTGGAGGAAGTGATACCAAGAGTAAGCCGGAAATCTGCTGAGCATAAAGTGCCTGTACATCTATATAGCACCAGAGCTGCAGCTAGACCTAAAGCAAATGTCGATCAACATTCTTTCACGCACAAGAAGTCTAATAATAGAGCTCCCGCAAGAAAAAGAAAATCGAGCGAACTGGCTGGGTCTGGACCTAATAAAAAGCCAAAAATTAATGAAAAAGCTGATAAAAAAAGATATCTACGGGTAGAGATAATAAGAGGCAGAAGGGGAAATATACAAAAAGGTGTAAACCAAGATAATCAGCAACCTTCACCGCAAAGTAGTAGTTCAAATGATCAAGTTGAAAAAGATCCCACTGTTATAGGCAAAGGGTCAGATAGGCTAGGTGGTGACTCTCAGCAAGATTCTGGGGAAGCAAGTGTAGATCAACGGTTTGCTGTAAGAAAAAGAAAGTCGAATAAACAAGATGAGGCTCCTGCTAAAGAAAAAGTAAAGCTAGGGGATATTATCGATATTGTAAAAAGTAGGTGCGAGTCGTTAAAGAGGGATGAAGTTATATCCGTAGAACAACATGAATGCGGGATGAGTTCTAATAAATCACTGACATTTACTCTTACATCAGGCGATTCTCCAAAGTTTCGCGTTGATTATCGAGAAAATCAAAAGTTCAAATTTTCTTGCGTGAATAGTTATGATGGTACAGCGGGACTAAAAAATATTAAAAAAGAGCTAGAAGACGTTGATATTTTGTCTCACAAAATTGCACCATTCCTCAAACAAACTGATAGAGATGGAGTAAAAATTGGAAATGCAGCTCAGCAACTTTCGCCACAAAGTAGTAGTTCAATGGATCGAGTTGAAGAAGATTTTTCTGTTATGTTAGATGGGCTAAGTGATGATTTTCCACAACATCTTGAACCAGATGCGGCAAACAATGAAACTTACTTAGAAGGGAATTTAGATGATGAAGTGGACTGTATAGATTTTGATGATGAAGGATTTGCTTGTGATGAAGAGGTGAAGAATTCACAAATTATTAAGTTAAAACCTGAGTGTCAAGCGGGATTAGATGATTTTTATCAAAAGGAATTCATGAGAGGTACGGCTCCTCATTCTGGAAGCTCAGATCAAATCTGTGCAAAAAGTGCTAATTCTAATCTTGAAGATAGTAGTAATCCAACTAATGAGGAAAATTACAGGGTTAAATCACAAAGTACAGTAGGCGATGGCAATTGTTTTTTTCACGCTGTGTTTGGCACTCTTTGTGAAGGCAAATATAAAGCTGAAAAAGCACAGGAGATGAGAGAAGAATGGTGCAAATTTTTGAGTCAATTTAAATCTCTTGAAGATAAAGAAAATTCTATGCCACAGAGTCTCAAAGAGAGATTAAAACAAATTTTTAGAAATTTTATAGATAATCCGTCAGATTTAATTGGTAAAGAAGAGGAACTTGGATTGCTAATTAAAGAATGTAATACTGTTGACAAAAATCAACTGTACGAACAAATAAAAGGAAGTGAAAAATTGTATGAGTTGTATCTTTCTGCTATTATGAGGCAAGATTATTATGTCTTTATTGAAGAGATTCCTATTTTGGCTTCTTTAGCAGATATTAAAATTGACCTGTGTGGATTTGGTACAATTGAGCCGAATAAGGACCTACTGAGTAAAAATTATCAGCGAAAGAATTAGTTATGGGGTAACAAGCGGCAAGAGACAATATGTTATGATAGTAAAATCAAGCATTTTTTACGTGGAGAACATTTTATTGAACAATCATCTTCATCACTCAAAAGTATTGAAAACTCTCCAACGCGCAAAAGAAATCGTATAAGTCCAGGAAGTCCAGGTAAGGAGAATCGCCTTAATAGGGTAAGATTTTGTGAATCTGATTCTGGAGTTAGCTTATTACCTTCTGTAGTCTTTACACCACACAAGAGAAGTGATAGTATTGAATCTGATCAACAAGCTTTTACAACTTCTACACCAAAAGAAAATGAAGATTTAGGATATGATGGCAGTTTACGTGATGGATCTGGTAAAAAATTTCGTAAGCCAAATCATCCTAAAAAAAAGAAATCAGCGAGACGGAAATTAATAGAAGATGATGAATTTAATTGCTCTGAACAAAATTCTATGGAGCAAGACCTTGCCGAGGACGATGCGATTAGTCAAGAACAGGCTGTAAAGCAATGGTCTATATGTAGCCCCCAAGAATTAGAGGATTTTTTTGGGAGTTGTAAATCTGGAGGTAAAATTGCGATTTATAAAGATAATAAGGTTTCTTTATCTTGTAACAAAGATGAAGTTTATTATATAGATGAAAAATTCAAGCAAAATGCGCTCAAAGAAATTAATGGACTTTTATCTTCAGGTAAAGTTAAAAAAGTAATAGTCTATGATATTAAAGAGGTCATAAAAACCTTTCCTGCGATAGAGAGCGTGCTAGACTCAGTTGATGATCTAAAGGTGATGTCATATAGTCTTAACACGAGGAAGAATAAATGCGGTCTTCAAGACATAGTTGAACGTAATTTTAACAGAATTGAAGAAACTTTCTCGGCAGGAACTTTAATAAAGATTCACAATGAACTAGAACCTAGGTTAGATAAGCAGTCAGAAACACTTCGTAAAATTTATGATGAATTAGATAAGCCTCTTACGGAAGTGATAATCAATATGGAAAAAAAAGGAGTAAAAGTAGATGCACAAAAACTGCAGGGGGTATCTGAGAGATTGAAAAATCAGATAGAAACGCTTGAAAAAGAAATATATAAATTAGCAGGTGTAAAATTTAAAATTGGGTCACCAGAAAAACTAAAGGGTGTTTTATTTAATAGAATGAAACTTCTTTATAGGACTGGACTTAATGGTTTGTGGTACCGTGAAACTGATTCCAGAACTCTAAGGGAATGCGAAAGAAGAGGAACAGAGATTGCAGGTAAAGTTTTAAGTTGGCGGTCTCTAAGTAAATTAAAGAGTAATATTGATGGCATATGTAAGGCATGTTCTAGTGGCAGAATACATGCAAATTTTTCAACAACTGGAACTACAATTGGAAGGCTTAGCTCAAGTAATCCCAATTTACAAAATATCCCCATCAGAGATAAGGAGGCAAATCTTGTCAGACAAGCATTTATTGCAGAAGAGGGGCATAAGCTAATTTCAGCTGATTACTTGCAAATGGAATTGAGAATTCTTGCAGAAATCGCAAATGTTGAAAAGCTTAAAGAAGCTTTTAAGGAAGGAAAAGATATTCATGAAACCACTGCAAGAAAAATTTTTAACATATCAGAGAATGAAGAGGTAAAAGATGAAGACAGGCAAAAAGCAAAAACTATCAATTTTGGAATTATATATGGTATGAGTGCACATAGCCTTGCAATAAAACTTGGAATTACCACTCAGGAAGCTGATGAATACATGAAAAGTTTCTTTTCCTCTTATCCAGAAATAAAGACCTATATGAGAGAAGCAGTAATTGACGCAAGGGCATATGGGTACGTAGAAACTAAGTCTGGCAGGAGATTAAATACAGAATACATAAATAGCAAAATTATTCCTCTCAAAGAACATGTAAGAAGGTTTGCAGTAAATGCACGAATTCAAGGAACTGGTGCTGATATAATGAGACTTGCAATGGTAAAGCTTTCTAAAGAGTTAAAAGAAAAGGAATTAGGTGAATTAATTCTCACAATTCATGACGAATTGATTGTAGAAGCTAAAGATGAAAATGTGGATGAAGTAAAAAAGCTTATGCAAAAGGTAATGGAGAAGACAGCACAAGATGTATTAGGAGCTCCTACATCAGTAAAAACAAAGGTTGGAAACGACTTAAATTTTGGAAGAAAATATCAGCCAATGGAAAATGTTTCTTCGACAAAGGATCAACTAATGGAAACTGATTTTCGTGAGGAAGGTCTGATGGAAGAAGATGAATCTCATGAAGAAGAAATTGGCGATTTGATAAACTATGATTTGGAGGATGAAAAATATCGTAACAGTTTTTTTGACATTACAGGAATCGCGTACCAAGTGGAAGTTTCGATATTATGCGCTCATCGTGCGTTTAAGGTGCATAAAAGGACATATAAAGATATCAAGATATCGACTGAAGAAAGTCAAGATTTGGTTGGTAAATTTGATGATTTAACTATCCGTTATAAAAATAAAGGAGGTGAAAGTAAAACTATTAATGTACAGATCAAACGTATAGATCAAGAAGAAGGGTATAATGATATTAATTGTAGTGCGTTATTTCCTAAGGGAGAAGAAAAAGAGAAAGGGATGTTTGCGATTGTTAAGTACTTTCATTCTTTTCTTAAACAAGATGTCGAAGAAAGGAATAAAGTAGAATACAATGTTATTTATACTAATTCAGATTTTGCTACCAAGGATGGAAGGAAATTAAAGAGTTGGTTTTCAGAGCATTCTGGTATTGAAGTTGATCAGATAAATATTAAGGAGGAAGAAAAGTATGGAATCTTAAAAGATCTTTTGTGCGCGGACGAAAAGAAGCGTGGTCTATATAAATTTTCGCAAGAAGCAAGAGAAAAAGTTTCACAGTTACTAGAGCCTCTTTCGCTAAGAACAAAAAGAGAAGTTTTTCGAGAATTAAGGCATCTTTCACTAGAAAGAAAAGGCAAGATTAAGAGGCTATTAGAGTCTCCTTCAAAAAACACAAAAAGAGAAGTTAAAAAGCTATTAGAGCCTCTTGAGAAAAGAACAAAAGCAAAAATTTTAAGGCTATTAAAACCTCTGTTTGATGTAGCAGAAAATTATGAAAAGCTAAAAGGACTGAAAGAAGAATTTCTGGATAAATTGGTATTTGCGGTTAATCAACCCAGTAGGCAAGAACTTAAGCAGACTATTGAAAAAGATTCAGGTGATTATTGCAACAAGCTTCGAGAAAAAATGTTTGATTGGTTAGAACAATCTGGGAATCAAGAGAGAACCTGTATTACAAAGGAAGTTTATTCTGAGTGGTGTGGTGAACAAAATAGAAGATCTACAAACATAGATGGAACTTCGGAACAAAATATAGAAAAGTATACAAAATCTCAATGGGTAGCAGCTATGGTACCTAGAGTTAGGTATAATTTAGAATTGTTTACTTTCTACATTCACAGGGCATTTTCAGTACATAAAGAGGATTACAAGATAAAGATTAGAGAACTTAGGGCTAGTGAGAATAATTACGTTTGCTTTGATAATAACGACAAATGTAGTTGCATATATTCTAAAAACAAAGATATAAGGGAAGGTAGTAAGAAAGGGATATTTACTTCTATTAATGATCACTTTAATTTTTTTTTAAAGCTGCATAAGAAGGGGAAAAAAGTAGAACATTTTGTTGTTTCTGTTGTAGGCCTTGACCTGCAGGAACTTGATTTTGTAGGAGAAACAGAGAAGATTACTCATTCTCGGCAAAAAGGAGGTTTTTTACAAGATTTTCTTTGTAAGAATGGTAGATTTTATCAATATTCGGAGAAAATAAGGAAAGAATTCTTAAATAAATTAGAGCCTATGAATAAAAAAGAAAAGTACAAAGCAAAAGATCTTAAAAACCTAAAAGAAGAATTTTTGGAAAAACTAGTATTTGCAGTTAAGCAACTCGAAAGAAAAGAACTGGAAAGCAGTATAAAAGCTGAAGCTAAAGATGATTACAACAATTATAGAGAAGTAGCATTACGTTGGTTAGAAAGTGAGAAGGGGATGAGTATTGATGAAGGAAGAGTGAAAAAGTACTTAGACAACATAAAAGAAGGAGAAACTACAAAATTTACTTATGGAGTAACTGGAAGAAATAAGGAGCTTATAAGTTCAATAGATTCATTTGCTCGAGGTATAGTTGGTAGAAAAGAAGCACGTCGCTTTAGAGAGCTTAAGGTATTTTTATGTGGCAAAGGAGTTGATAAGTTTGAAATTTTAGAGAAAAAACGCACTCAGAGTTACGTATCAAGTATGTTATTAGGGGTAGGAGAAGATGCTGTTAGTGCTTTTAACAAATTGTATGATAAGTTATTTGATAAAAAAGGAAAAGAAAGCGAATTTCTAAAAAGCTTTACGAGTGGTGGTATTACACTTGGTAATGTATCTTCTATGTTAAATGGAGCAGGATCAGACGCTCCTCAGGCTTTAGAATCACTGATTAATATACTTACTGGCAAGACAATTAATGGAAAAACTTATTTAGAGTTTTTAAAAGACAAGGGCATAAATGTGTCTTCTATGTTAAATGGAGCAGGATCAGACGCTCCTCAGGATTTAGAATTACTGATTGAAATACTTACTGACAAGACAATTAATGGAAAAACTTATTTAGAGTTTTTAAAAGACAAGGGCATAATCAGTAATGTATCTTCTATGTTACACGGAGCAGGATCAAACGCTCCTGAGGCTTTAGAGGTACTGATCAAAACACTTAATAAAAAAATAGAGATTAACGGAAAAAAAACAACTTACTTACAGTTTTTAAAAAGCAAGGGCATAATCAGTAATGTATCTTCTATGTTAAGTGGAGCAGGATCAGACGCTCCTCAGGCTTTAGAATCACTGATTGAAATACTTACTGACAAGACAATTAATGGAAAAACTTATTTAGAGTTTTTAAAAGACAAGGGCATAATCAGTAATGTATCTTCTATGTTAAGTGGAGCAGGATCAAACGCTCCTCAGGCTTTAGAGAAATTGGTTACTCTACTGAATTCCAATTTACCTGGACAACAAACAACTTATTTAGAGTTTTTAAAAGACAAAGACATAAATGTATCTTCTATGTTAAGTGGAGCAGGATCAAACGCTCCTCAGGCTTTAGAGAAATTGGTTACTACACTTACTAAAGAAAGAAACATTAACGGAGGAAAAACAACTTATTTAGAGTTTTTAAAAGACAAGGGGATAGTCAGTAATGTATCTTCTATGTTAAGTGGAGCATGATCAAAAAAAGTTTGTTATTATTTAGATATATTGTTTGATGTACTGGATATGAATGTTGAAAATAAGCAAGAAACTTATTTTAAGTCTTTTTCAAGTTGTGGAAGGATACGTGATGTAATAATTGAAAGCTTAAAAGGTTTAAAAGAGTTAAAAAAACAGCCAAAAGATGACGAAGAATTGAAAGCATGGAAGGAAAAAGCAAAAAATAATACAAAGACTTTCTTTGATACTATGTTAAAAGATTTAGGTAATAAAGATGTGAATGATAAAAAATGGAATAAAATAGTACAAGAAAGTAAAGAGGCTTTCTCTCGTACTTCAAAAGATAAATGGTGCTCTCAAAGATTAAAAGAAAAAGCGCAAAATAATTCTAAAAGGAAGTTAGACAGTATAGCACATGATAATCGCAGTAAAAGGAGAAGAACAAAAACAAAAGTGAGCACAGAAATTTTTGAAGAAGAGCGACAAGAAGTATTTTCGCGTTTATCAGAATTTGTATTGAGTAACTTTTCAAATGCTTCTATTGAATCAGTAAGACAAGGTCTGTATTCGCCTTTTTTTGGAGAGCCTGAAGCTGGTGGCAGATGTGTACCAATTACCCGTAGTTTTTCTCAAGTTTTATTCTTACAAGGAGAAAGATCTGTTTTGAGTAATTTGAAAGATTTAGCTGATCCTAGTAAACAAATATCTGAAAGGAAAGAAAGAGAACTTTCTGCTTTTAGAAAATTACTTAAAGACTGTGAACAACAACTATGCTCTGATATATGTAGCCTATCTTACAGCTTAATGTGTAATCAGGGTTATAAAACACTTGACAATTTATCAAATTATATAGTTGGGATTAAAAGAGATTTCGCTATTCACTTAGTAATGAGAGATCATGTTGTTGCTATTTATAGGACTGGTGATAATTATGCTTATTTTGATTGTAATACAGCATTTATTTCTGGGTTAAAAAGTGTTGATCAGCTTATGGAAGTTGTAGAAAAAGCAGTGGAATCTGTTGGCTATAAAGTAGGAGAAGAAGGCTTTCTTGTTGAACACTTGAATGTTGATAAAGCTAATAACTCACTATCTGATGAAGATAAACAAACTCTAACAAAAGAAATCAAAACAGAACACCAACTTCTCGCAGAGCAAGATAAGGAGTTTGATCTTATAAAAGTCAATGGTCAAGAGATATCCAGAGTACAATTGTATGACTTTGGAACTAAAATTAATGTGGAAGGAGGTGTGCCGTTACTTATCAATGCTGATATGAATTTAAGCAGCAAAAAATTCCAAGATCATCTAGATGGAAAAGAAGTGAGCATGACAGCTAGAGAATATCTTAATAGCTTGAAAAATAGCAAAAATGTAGAAGAAGTAACCAAAGTAATTCCTTTCATAGTTTCAAAACGTGAAGTTGAAGAAGCAGAGCAAACACGTAAGCCGAAGCAACCTTTGTTAGAACAGTTGATTAAAGGGGCAGTTAATTTTATAGCTAGTAATCTTACTACTGCTTTTTTTGCTAGTGTTAGTCGATCAGAAAGTCAGTTGCCAGGGAAAACAGACGATAAACCTAGAACCTGTTTAAATGATCCAACAGTAGACAAGCAGCTACAAAGATTACTATGATGTCAAGGCTATTTCTTTCTTGAGTTGTGCAATTTCAGCTTGGGGAAGACCGGTTGTTTGGGAGATGATATCAATGGAAATACCAGCCTTAAGTAGGTTTTTTGCGACTTCAATGTCTCTCTCTTTTCGACCTTCTGCTCTGCCTTTTTCAGTAGCATCATCAAGACGTTGTTCCCAAATAGCAGCTTCTTTCTGTACACTCAAAACTCTTTCTTCGTATGCTGCAAGATCCTCTTCTT